ACTGATGATGTAATCATCTATAAATAGCGCCCATAGTTATTACTGATGATGTAATCATCTATAAATAGCCCCATAGTTATCACGGATGATGTAATCATCTATAAATAGTCCCCGTAGCTTACCTGGAGAGCTGCGGTGCTGCTGCTGCTGCTGCTGGCTGCTGACCTCTCATCCAGGGAGGGCTGAGACTAACCTGGCTTGCCGGTGGGGATCCGTGCGGCGGTGTCTACACCCACGGAGCCTGCTGCTGCTGCTGCTGGGGGCCTCTAGCCTGTAGCGGGAGAATCATGGGGAGATGATGAGATGAGGAGGAGCTTATCTGCTGCGTGGTTAGAGAGAGAGGAGAGAGAAGGAGAGAGAGAGAGAGAGAGAGAGGGCTTCGCAAGACGAGAGAGGATGCTGGGTGGCTGGGATAGTGGGTGAGTGGGTGGTGTACTGGGATGCGTGGTGGAGTGGGATGGCTGGTGGAGTGGGGTGGGGTAAGTGGGATGTTGTGGAGTGGGATGCTGGGTGGGTGGGTGGGGTAGTGGGATGCTGGTGGGGTGGAGTGGGGATAGTGGGATGTTTGGTGGAGTGGGATGCTGGTGGGGTGGGGTGGGGTAGTGGGATGCTGGTGGGGTGGAGTGGGTATGGGATGGTTGGTGGAGTGGGGTTGGGTAGTGGGATGGTGGGGGAGTGGATGTGGGGTAGTGGTGATGCTGGGTGGGTGGGTGGGGTAGTGGATCTGGTGGAGTTGCGGGGTGGAGTGGGATGGTGGGTGAGTGGTGGGGTAGTGATGGTGGTGGGGTGGGGTGGGGTAAGTGGATGCTTGGTGGAGTGGGGTGGGGAGTGGGAATGGTGGTCGGAGTGGGGTGGGGTAGTGGAGGTGGTGAGTGGGGGGGGTAGTGATGGTGTGGAGTGGGTGGGGTAGTGGGATGGTGGTGGAGTGGGGTGGGTAGTGTAATGATGGGTGGGAGTTGGGTGGGTAGTGGGGATTGATGGGTGGGGTGGTGGTGGGTAGTGGATGGTGGGTGGAGTGGGGTGGGGTAGTGGATGAGGGTGGGGTGGGGGTGGGTAGTGGGATGGTGGTGGAGCTGGGGTGGGGAGTGGGATGGTTGGGTGAGTGGGGTGGGTAGTGGGATGGTGGGTGGAGTGGGGTGGGAGTGGGATGACTGGTGGAGTAGGGGTGGGTAGTGGATGATGGGTGGGTGGGGTGGGGTAGTGATGGTGGGTGGAGTGGGTGGGGTTTAGTGGGAATGATGGTGGGGTGGGGTGGGGTAGTGGATGGTGGGTGAGTGGGGTGGGTAGTGGATGGGGTGCGTGGGGTGGGGTAATGGGATGATGGGTGGGGTGGGTGGGTAAGTGGATGATGGGTGGGGTGGGGTGGGGGTAGTGGATGATGGGTGGAGGGCAAGTGGAAAAGTTTCCTCATCCTCTCTCTCTCTCTCTCTCTCTGCTCTCTCTCTGCTCTCTCTCTCTCTCTCTCTCCTCTACCGCTCTCTCTCTCTTCTCTTCTCCTCATCTCTCTCTCATCGCTACTCTCTCTCTCTCCTCATCTCTCTCTCTCCTCTCTCTCTCTCGATCTCTTTCTCTCTCTCTATCTTCGTCTCTCTCTCTCTCTCTCTCTTCTCTCTCTCTCTCTCTCCCTCTCTCTCTCTCTCTCTCTCTCTCTCTCTCTCATCGTCTCTCTCGCCTCAGTCTGGGTCTCGCATCAGAATCGCTGACAAATACTCTCAGGGAGCTCGCGAAACATACCAAGTGACCGCCGGGCTGCAGCCACAAAGCGGGGGAAATTGTTCAACATTCCAGGACCGTCTCCTGTCTCGCGCTGCTATCCGCGCGAGTGCTGTCTCCCTCTCTCTCTCTCCCTCCCGTAGCTCCGTACATCTCTCTCTTTCGCTGCTCTGCTATCCTGCTCCTATCTCTCTGACTCTCTCTCTCTTCTCTCTCTCCTCTCTCTCTGCTCTGCCGTCTCTCTCTCTCTCTCACCCTCTCTCTCTCTCTATCGGTCTCTCTCTACGTCTCTTCTCTCGCCCTCTCTTCTTCTCTCTCTCTCATCTCTCTCTCTCTCTCTCTCTCTCTCTCTCTCTCTCTCTGTCTCTGCTCCCTCCTCTTTCTCTCTCTCTCTTCTCTTCTCTGCGTCCCTCTCTTCCTCTCTCTCTCACTCTCTCTGCTCTCTCTCTCTCTCTCTGACTCACACTCATAACAACGCTTACTTGTGGCTGAGTCCTCCAGGGGGCGCCACCGGTCGTTGGCTGCTGTCTTGCCGGAGCAGCAGCGGGGGCGGGCGCTTGCTGGGGTTGCGGCCTCCACGGAGCCGCCTCGTGTGCGGCGGGAGGGGAAGGTTGGGCCCTCCAGGATGGAGGAGAAGGCTGCGCCTGCTGAAGGAAAGAAAGGAAGGGAGCGTCGTTAGAGAGGTAAAGAGAGAAAGAGAGAGAGAGAGAGAGATCCTTAATTAAAAATCGTTAACGAGGTGGAAATGAACGATGATCTACACTTAAAAATTGATGATAATATTTCATTTTTCCCAATTTCCGTGACCGTGTAGTCACAGATACAGAATTTCCGAATCTTTCCAGCGAAAGAAAAATTAAACGCCGTTTCATCTTTTTGTGTCATTTATCTTTTTGTATATCTTGTGTTTAATCTCACATCTTTCCCGAAGCTGTGTGTCATAGATTAGTGGTTATATGTACGTGAAGTTATTAAATCATTTAGAGTACATGAATATCATTTTATATCATTTGATAATGAATGATAATTAATTATTTGAATAAATAAATAATGAATGCATGAATGACAATGAACACTCATTTGATGGCGATTATTTGATTTGGTAGTCGTGTTCATTTACTAGCATTTGTAACATTATGATTACTACTATTCTATTATTATCTACTTTTATTTTGTAACATACTATTCTTTCTACTCTACTACTCTATTACTACTATTTTATTAATATCTACTATTATTTTATGACATTTTCACTATTATTACGTGACAAGCCGTGTATAGACCGTGTGATGGGGTACCTGAGGTGATGCCTGCGGTCTCCACTGCCCCGGGGAAACAGCCTGAGGCTGCTGCTGCTGTTGTTGGTAAGTAGGCTGGACCTGTATGACTTGGTGCGAGCCTGGCTGCATGTGCACGGCCTGCACGTGTATCTGCGCAGCAGCTGGCGACACCTGTTGCTGGAAAAGTGAAACAACAGGCGGGGACTCGTCACTTCAGAGTTAGACGCCATTATACTTACTACATTAAATTATATGTACATCTAATTATATATTGTAGTAATAGTAGTACTACTAATACAGTCCCGTTAGAAATATAGATTTGAAGTAAAGTGTCTCTACACATAACGTCAAAGTATAATGTAAGTATAACATATAGTAGTCTAAAGAATTATTACAATGGAAATGATTACTGTAATAAGAATTAATATCATATCATTTTTTGATTATGTATTATTAACGTGTGACGATAATGTAACCATACTTACATCTGACGAAACTAAATTAAAATTATCATTTTAATACGAATTAATATAATATTATCATGTATTATTCGCCGAACGCGTAACGATACATTACGATACGAGCGTTTGCATTACGAACCTGTACCGATACATAACGATCTGCTCTGACAAACATTTCATCTCATTTCCCGCCGGAAGTTAGACAACCATTTTTTGTAACGAATCGAGAAAGTTTTCTCGTGTAACACGTGACACACTCTGCATGACGACGACGACGACGCGTGACACCACGTGGGTTACGTGACGTCACGCATGACGTACATGGCGCTGACCTTTATCCGCTTACCCCCGCCCGCGGATTTTTAGAGGCGGTAAAAGGGGGGAAGGGTCTTTCCCGTTAAATCGTTGACTGCTTGCATGCGGGGGTTCAAAGATTCAACGACAGGGAGGGGGTGATACACCTTTTAACGCTTCACAGCAGGCTACGCGGGAGCTATGTGAAGGTGTTTTAACACGGACTCTGCCAACTCTCACAACCGCTGAACGTACTGGAACAACTCCTGAACGTATTAAAAGTCCTAAAGGCACATGTACTAAAGCTCTTGAAGGGTTTTAATAGATAGAAATAAAGGTATTTAGGGGTTATAGCTACACGGGCGCAGTAAAGCGAAGCAGCAAACTCTACGACAGATGGCGCTCTCGCTCTGGCTCAATTTCGGCCTCTCCTATCCGGAGTACGTTGTGCGTAGGGGGCGCGCTGCGTGCAGTTTGGCAAAGCAGAACGAAATAGAGAGAAGAATCGGATACCTCCGCAGCGCCATCTACCGGCTCGGGTGTAGGTGGCCAGCGCTTCGTTATTGGTTTCACTGCTTCCCCGACCTCCTCAGCTATATCTATCTTCTCTGATCGCCCCTTCTGCAAGACAGACGCCTAACTCTAGCATGCAGGTCACAACACACGGATAAAGAACTATCACCGGCGGATCCGGGGATGGGGGAGGGGGTGAAAAAACCCGCCAACGGGGGAGGGGGTAACAAAACCCCACCAACATGGGGAGGGGAGGGTGCAAAACCTCACCAACGGGGGGGTGGAAAACACCAACGGGGGAGGGGGAGGGAAAATACCCATCTTCGAGGGATGGGGGGAAGGAGCAAAAACCCGCCAATAGAGGGAGTGGAAGGGAAAAGAAAACCCACCATGGGGGGAGGAGGGGAGCAAAAGCCCACCAACGGGGGAGGGAGAGGGAGTAAAACCCCACCAACGGGGGAGGGTATGGAAATAGAGGGAGGGGGAGGGAGGAAAAATTCACCAACATTAAGGGTAGGGATGGAAGAAGCGAAGTTAGCTCCCCCTGGTGGTGCATCTGTGAGATTTTGAGCTTCAGGCGGTAATTTCTAGACGCCTGCCGAGCAACAAATTTGCGAAACAATTTTGGAAAAGAAAAACTAAAATGCCGGGGTTTGAAATGCTCACGATTGACCGCTTCAGGCTTTTTTTTTATTCACTCGTTTTCTAATGTTGATTGTTGGACGGAGGACATGGCCATGATGACCCCACCCCAACCCATCCCCTGGATCCGCCGATGATGCAGCTACGTACATAAACACACATGTACCTGTATCGGCAACATAAAACCAGGAGTGTCATAATATAGATAGACTATTATAAAGACTATAATATAGACTATAATATAGACTATAATATAG